ATTTGGCACCAGGAGGATTTTGATGCAGCTGTTTTTTAACTTGGTCCTTTTGATGTTAGAATATTTTGACTCAATCTTAAAAGTCAGCCATTAAACTTTAGCATTTCTCCCTCCAAATAATGTAGGTAATGTGTCCATCTTGACAGCCATCCCAGTTGACGGGAGGGTAAGGTAGTGCCTTTTGAGCACATTACCAGGTGATTAAAAAGAAAAAGCGTTACATTTTGATGTGGCCTCATCACACTCTGGCCAAACTCTTTGCAGCTGCTTCAGAATCACTTGTGAAATGCATCTTTATAACAGACAACCTAGGGTAAGCCCCACCCAGCAGCCTTGTGTTTAGGTACTAGTGCTAAACTTTCCCTGTGGCCCTAGAAGCCCTTGGAGCCCAGTGGCTGTGAAAGGGCAGTTCCATCCAGAGTCCTCAAAGGGTTGCAGGGGTTTACAAACTGGCAAGGAGAGGCCCAATTCAAAAGTTATTTTTCCTGTAATCTCACAGAAGCAGCTACTAAGAGTGTATTTCTTTCAGGAAGCCTTCTAACATGTACACAAGCATTCCCAAAGGTCACATACATGACTTCTTTTGATTTTTACCTTTTCTTTTCAAATATGGTTACTCAACCAAATGAGAATGCAGCTGCTATTTATGTGATATGCTGCCTATCTAGATGCTTGATTCTGCTGTATAGAAGACAATTACCAAGGTTAGTTTAGATTATCTACCATTTAAGATTGGCATATGATAACCTAACCTCTGCAGATGCTTTTCCTCTGGCTAGACTGTCAAAGGCCAATGTGAGGAAGTAATAAAGTTACTTCAGAAGGTATTTTAAGTAAAAAACAATTTTCTGTGGCTGAGACACTCACTAGAGAAATGGTGATTTATTACCATTGTCTTCCCTAAAAAGGACAAAATAATTAACCCTCTGTAGGAAAAATGGAAGTTCCATGGCCAGAATCCTCACCTGATTCTAATCTATTCACTGTGCATGTGCAATGATGTAATATTATCCTAGGGCACAGGTGCATACTTGCATTCCTGTTGGCAATAAACCGTTATTGCCTGTGTTGCTATAAAGAGCTCCCCCAGGTGCTAAGAGGAGAGAGCAGGGCCTAAAGGTAACAGCAGCGCAGCCTGGGGCAGAGGTGGACAGGATTCTAGCCCTTGATCTGCCACTGTGAGAACAGAGCTTGGTATAAGCCGCTTTTAACCCACAACGTTCCATTGTCATTTTTCATTCTCATCGAATCCAGAGTGGACTTACCCAGAACTGAAACCCCTTTGGCCCGGAGCTACACCCTCTCATGCCTGGGTTTTAGGATGACAAGGTCATGAAAGACAAGCCTCTTTGTAGAAGATGGACCCAAGGAAAGGCGGTTCTGCTCTCTTGAGCAGGGGCAGCAGGGATCCCATAAAAGTCTGAGGCCTGATGATGGCCTGGAGCTGGTATGGCTGCCCAGGACATAGGGTGGTAGCCAGAAATTCAACTTGTCCTTCAGCTCTCCCCAGGACAGGAAAGAGTACCCTCCAGAACTTAACAGAGGTCCAAAATTGACATCACAATCACAATAATCACACCTATTTTTAAAGGCAAGCACATCTGGATCCAAGTGAGTAGTTACATCAAAGTCAGGGATGAGAAAATAAAGGGGAGAGGTGATTAGAACTATTTCTACCTTTATTCTTTGATACACAGTAAATGAGCTTCCTTTCTTTCATTAAAAAAGTGCTTAGCATTAAGGAGTATTTAATTTAGCTGAAGTATGCAGGTAGGCTAGAGAGAACTGAAATAAGCTATATAAAAATGATTATAGTCAACAGAAGTCATCTGCAGGTCTATCCACACCAGCATGTTAGTTTTAAACAGAAAATTCTTGGAAGGCAAAGAATGTGTTTGTAGCACTTTGGCTTGTGCTTGAATATGAAAACCAAACCTTCAGGGAAAAGATACTGACTGAGTCTGGCCAATACTTTTAGCCTATCTCCAGGGACCACTGCAATGTCAGGCAACCACTTAAATTATGACAAAGCCACAAGTCCACAAAACCCCTCCTGGGATACATTGTCTGTTGCCAATTTCTCCCTCAAAGAGATAAGCAATTGATGCTGCATGTGGGTAATGAAATAGGCTACTTGTGCTTCAATCCAGATTACTTCTTGAAGGAATGGGATAAAGTCCTGCTTTCTGCTTAATTCAAGATGCACAAACGTAATACACAGAGCAGAAAGTTCTCCTGGATCCTGAACTCTACTTTTGTGGAAGGACCCACATGTTAAATGATACTTCTTGATCCTTAATATGCTTTAGAGAACGGAAATCCAAACCAACCAACAGCAAGGGCCACAACACAAAATTTATTGGGATTATTTACTAAATAATTCATATACATCCAGCCACAACTAAATGGAAATAAAGTAAGCTAGTTTTAAAAAAAAAAGGAAAAAAGCAAGGCTTCCTCTGGGGTCTTTCAAGAAAGTGAAAAACTTCTTGGAGACTGTATCTTTAACAAATGGGAAGACCAAACTAGTGAAGTAAGATGTATCTCAATCAAATGCTAAACTCAATATTGCCAACATGTTTTTCTACTTAGAAGCAAAGCCTCATAATTTAGTAGTTAATACGTTTCTCAGTTTCTGTTCTCAAATGCCACAGAAAGAAACTTGACAGAGGAAAAGCACCTGTTCCAGCAGTCTTCTTGTTAGGCAGAGAGACAGATGAGTGGGATGAAAAGAGGGTGGGGCCCACTAGAACTCAGAGAGTTAATCAGATAAAGCCAAGAGCCAGAAAGGACTCACAGAATTAAGGACCTTTGCAATGTGAGTTCATTCCACAGGCTCTGAATCTGAGCTGACCTTGAGACTTGCTCTAGCTAATGCCAGTGGGATAGGGCAGACATAAGTCAAGAATCATGATTAATTTTCCTTAAAATGCCAAGATATGAATAGCTTAATAAGAACAGGAAAGACTTAGCTTAAGGCTAAGATTCCATATTAAAAGACAATTGGAAAGTTAGATTCCTGGCATATTCATTGGTAATCACCCAAAGAGCTACCTTAAGGCACAAGCAGTCCTAGCTGATATGTTCCCAGTTCTTATGGGTAGCCACTACCTTGTAGAACAGGAAGTTTACCCCTACATAATTATCTAGAGGATTGACTATAAATAATGACATATTATCTCTCACTGTATCCTAAGACTGCATGACAGGCCTACACCTCCCTAACCCTTTACCTTTATTCCATTCTTGAAAGCCTTCAAAGACAGAATCCTAAGCCCTTAAGTGCACCTCCTTTCTGAGGTTACCCACACTCCCCTTTCTTGGAGTGTGTATTTTTAAAAGACGTCTTACTGCTCAACTTACTACATTTTGTCTCTGTGCTCTTCCAGTGGTGTCTTTTTCACTTTGCTATTTTATTCTATTTTCCAGACTTGAAGTAATGTCTTTACTCTCTCTGTTCTACTTTAGGTAAGAAGGGAGAGGCTACTGAGAGCTCTGATAGGAGCTGGCAAGTCCCTTCAAGGAGCTTTCCCTTCCTCTCTGCTTTATTCAAGAGAATCTGCCTTTGTCTGCCTTGACTCTGGCCCTTCCTCCCTTAGAGTGTACTCAAATAAACTTTTGTTCCGCTTCACTACTGTGTCTCTGCCCTTCCGTTCTTTGCTGCAGTGGGGACAAGAATCGAGGAGGACAAACTCAACTCCCAACAGTCTTAAAATACCTTAAGCTTGCCTTCACTGTATCAATATATTTAGATCCCCATATGACAGATTTCTTCACTTATGTTAGCAGGAATGCTTTCAAGACCTTAATCTTTACTCTTGTTTCATACTACAGCTGTTTGATTAAACCATCAGTAAAGTCCCTCTGCACTGGCTGGACCGAATCACTAGATAAGAATTCATTAGAATCCCTCCAAAGAAACCAAGATAATCACAATACAAATTTTGGTGGCTAATATGTTACAGTACTTATGGATATTTTGTTTCCTGGCAGCAAGTATGTTCAATGTGTATATTAGTACATGGATTTCACAGACAAGGGACGGGAACCAAGATGAAGCTGAAACAGTTTAATTTAGCAAGGAGAAGGTACACTCTCAAAGAGACAGCCGGAGGCCTGGGTGGTTAGGAGCAGCCCTGCTAACCTGAACACCTAAAGTATGAGGGGTGGCTTAACAGGTTCATATCATATAACAGCTCTGGCTCTGCACATGCTTATTCTCATAATGCAGACAGAAAAGCCGAGAGGGAGGAAATTCTAATGATTATATGAATGAGCCAAGGTCGTTCTTGGACACGTCTAGGTGTCCCTTGTGCAGGCAGCAGCCTTGGGAATTTCCTGGCTCTGTCTTACTTCACAGGTTTAAGCAGAGTGGGTATAAACCCACCTAGAAAGGTTACCAGCTTCCACCTCCCCTTTTCTGCTGCTCCTATTTTACTCCCTGCCTACTCTAACCTAGATGGGGATAGAAATCAAACTGAGAAGAAGTGCTAGACCGAGTTAAGAAGGAGGCTCCAGGGAGGGCTAGGAGGGGAGGAAATGGATCCTTGGAGTTTGAGACCACAACCTATAGGGAGAATGTGCCATGGGGTGGGGTGGATTGTTTTGTTTCAGTGTCCCTACATGCACATACATTGTCTTGAGGTTGGCAGGTGGCCTAGAGCCAAGTAACCATTCCATGATCAACTTGTCCTCACCCAGGAGACTTATTGTAGGTGGCGACCACCCTAGGGGCTTTTAAATGGTCAACCCATGTCCACCAAGAAGGTGGCAAGAACAACCAAGGATCCAAGAGAAAATGACAAGGAGTGCCTTAAAGTGGCCTAGCAGTCCTTCCCTAGAGCATTAGTGAGTACCGTGTTAAGAGTCCCTTCGTGGTCACCAAAATGTGGTCCTGCAATCCAATCCAGGCAGACCTCCCTGCACACTAGGTGAGACCTCAAACCCCGGGAGGGTTCTTGACTCTGATCAAGAAAGAATTCACGAACAGATCACACAGATACAAGCAAAGAGTAGTTTAATAAAGCAAGGTACACACTCAAGGAGGGAGTGCAGGCACGCTCCAAGGTGAGCAGCCCAGTGGGGACTGGGTTGGGTGGTCTTATAGCTGGAGTTAAAGCAGAGGTGGAATATTCATCAGATTAGGTGGAGTTTTCTCCGAATAGGGAGGGAATTTCTGGGAAATAGGGTGATGCCCTTTTTTTGTCCTCAGATGGTCTTCCTCAGAACTGTCATGATGCCAAGGGTGTGATATTTAGTATGCTAATGAGCATATAATGTACTTTGAGGTGAAGTCAGGGTGAACTTCCCCATGTTGGAACTACTCAGTTTAGGCAGGTCTGATATCTATACCCTCCTCCCCACATCCCACAATTACAGTTTACATGGAATGTTAAGAATACAAACAAGCATCTAACCGAATGTAAACACCAGCTAAAGTCCCCAACCCCCCTCCCTGCTCACGTCTGGCTGTCCACCTACTATAGCAATAACACACATAGAAATAAATCAATCTATAATATGAAAACATCCATAAATTGTCCTTACTATTCCCAAAAACCTTAAATATAAAATCTAATCATACAAAGGCAAAATTCCTTCCGTGATTTAACCCTGTATACCAAACAGTATGTATGCTGAAAATGAGAAACATTTTAATAAATCATATTAAGAGCCTTGGATACCAGTTTATATTAGTAATGGCAGAAAAAGATAAGGAAGAAGAAAACAAATTTCTAAGAGATTTTTTAAAGGAAGAATGGATTTCAGGAAAAATTTGGACTCAATAGCCTTTTTAAAGTTTTATACCTTTCAATGCTTCAATATGATGGAAAAAAAAAGTTTACTGAATAAAAGTAGCCAGGAAGGGAATCAAACATTTATAAGATATATTTATTATTTTTCTGACCAAAGTGCAATGATTTTTAAATCTTCTTAAACAAGTAACTATGAAAAAAATTACTCAAGAAAATAAAATACAAATGGGGAATTTAACCACTAGATTTCTTTATTTTACACTAACCCTATATTTAGTCTAAAAAACAAAAACCTTTTGAAATGTTACTAAAATGCTAACCAAATCATTTTACCATAAATCTAGTACATGCATATCAAGGTTCCTGCTAGGAATTTTGTTAAGATCAGTTTAATCATTAATAACACTACATAACAGAGCATAAGGGTCACATGTCATTAGATGTGAACCTTGCCCCTTACCCTCAGATTTATGTCAGAATAAAGCTGACAGTTCTGTCAGGCTCTGAACCCCAAAGTCCCCCTCCCAAACCCTGGAAGCAAATATGCCCTGTCACACAACTTTATACAAGTTGTAGTAAAACAAAGCCTAAGTTTTCTTACTTTTCTATGGAAATGGTCAGTTATTTGATAAATATTAAAACACTTCTAGGACTTCATTTTACAAGTTTGTTTACCAAACACATTTTTTAAGAACTGTTTATACAAATAGTTCTTTTGGAATTTGGTCCACAAATTCACTTAAATAAGTTGGAAAATAAAACCTACAAGAAATAGAGGAAGTGGGAATCCCTAATCCTAACATGTTATAATTACTAAAGGGATATACACACATACTAAAAAGTTTTGCTCACAGAAGGCACAAACTATAAAAGGGATATTCTTTTTGAATAAAAACAAAGAACTAGCTGACACCCTTCTTTGTTTTGTGAGCACCATAGCTAAGATGAAGTTAGACCCAAATTCACTGTCTAGTCCTGTGACCAAAACAAATTGAAGATAAAAAATTTGTCTTACTACATATTTTCTAGCCATTAACTGAGATGTAATTATGATATATTAAAACTGCCTTTAAAAAGGGGTTGTGGTAGCAGCTATCAAAGCAATATTCAAGCATGATCACAAAGACGCTTTCAGGTTTAGAGTTAACCTTCTTTGTCAAAAATCTTCACAACTTCATCAAAAACCTGTAAAGGAAAAAATAATCATAATTTAAAAAGCAGACATTGTTAAACACCTTAAGGCTAAGTTCCTGTTAAAAATAGTCAACTTTATATTAACTTTCAAAATGGATCATTATAAAAACCACATTACAATTTTAGTTTCATCTATTTTACTTTAGATAGTTCTATCATAAATAACACATATAAAGTTATGAACATGTTGCATTTTTTTTATTAACGTATCACTGATATACAATCTTATAATGGTTTCACATAAAGAACACAGTAGTTTCAACATTTACCCATACTGTCAAGTCCTCACCCCATTGCAGTCACTGGCTATCAACATAGCAAGATGTTCTAGACTTATTACTTGTCTTCTCCATGCTGTACTGCCTTCCCTTCCCCGTGACCTACCTATATAGTGACTAGGAATTATAATGCCCCTTAATCCCTTTCTCCCCCCTCACCCCCTCCCCGCTCCACCCCCTCCCCTTTGGTAACCACTAGTACCTTCTCAGTGGCTGTGAGTCCACTGATACTTTGTTCCTTCAGTTTTGCTTTGTTTTCATACTCCACAATTGAGTGAAATAATTTGGTATTTGTCTTTCACCACCTGGCTTATTCCACTGAGCATAATACCCACTAGATCCATGTTGTTGCAAATGGTAGGATTTCTTTTCTTTTTATGGCTGAGTAATATTTCCTTGTATATATGCACCACATCTTTAGCCATTCATCTATTGATGGACACTTAGCCTGCTTCCGTATCTTAGCTATTGTAAATAATGCAACGATAAGCATAGGGGTGCATATATCTTTTCAAATTAGGGATCTAAAGATGTTGCATTTCATTAGTGTTTTTAGGACAAGAAAAACTTTTTGGTAGGCTGCCAATAATTTGGTAAAATGTGAAGTGGCTTATCTTCCTAGTTCTGATTCTAAAACACCACATTTTCTGATGTATTACTTTACCTCTATAGGAAATGGTAATGAATAAAAAACCAAAAGTGAATATATGATAAAAAAGAAAGATCTAGAGGAAGAAGAGTCAGGGAATAAGGAAGAAAGGAAGACATTACACAAAATCAGAGACACTAGAAATATTGCTGGGCACAGAGGGCCTGCAAACCAGTCTAGAGAACACTGATTTATGAAGGAGAGAGGCACTGAATTTGGAAGCCCTGTGCCTCTGGAACTACGTGCTCTGTGATGGAAAAGATGAAAGCAACTGGGGGCTCTTGAGCTACATGGCTTGCCATTCATGTTTTAGATTTTTTAAAAATGAATATGATCCAAATCACAGTTCTCAAAATGCCAATTTTCCAGTGCTTGAGAAAGAGGTTTGGAATTAATAAACCACCCACTTCCTATGAAGAACAAGTCTGAAGTTGTAAAGGCCATTTTAGGCTCTATTCAAAATAGAGGAAAAAAACCTTAGTTTTTCATTTAGTCCCCAGTGTCTTGAAAAGCAGACAAACTATCATGTCACAGCGTTTCCTGTTCTCCTGCTTACCCCTCCACCAAATCTCATTTTTACTTGACTTTTTAAAAGGCAATACTCACTTGATCGACAGATTTAGAAGCATCAATTTTCTTGACTTTCCCCATTTCTTCATATAAGTCAATAATTGGCTTTGTTGACTGAAGGTAGGTCTGAATTCTGCAAAAGTAGCAAATATTGCAAGGTTCTAAGTATCCATCTGCTCTCCCCCATGTTACAGGATAACTCAGAGCACAAACCCGGATCTGACCCAATTGACCCCTTTATATCATCTTCTTAGACAAGCCATTTCACATATTTAAGCATGCCATTTTCTTTCACTGGGACAAAATGAGGCACATATTTAATTTCTTACTCAAGTTCCAAGCTAAGATTGAGGTTGCTCTGTATAAAAACTGCAAAGTACCTCTTCTCCAAGCTCTCTCTGTTGTCATCAGTCCTACCACTACTCTTTCCCCTCTCAAGACATCGTTCAATACAGATCTAAAAAGAAAAATAGGTAGTTATTTTAAAAAAAGAAAGATATGGATTTGCCATTCTTTTAATCTGAAATGAGAATAAAATTTGAAGAGATTACCAAAAAACCCTACATTAAACCTGATGTGTCTAATTCATTAATCTACAATGCAAAGTCCTTTTAAATTTAAACATGTGGTTCAATTTATATAAACTAGGTTAAATAAGTACAGAGCATAATAAGAATTCATTCATGACTCAGTTTTTCCTGTGTATTTTTTTAAACCGCAATAAAAAGAAGATCTGTATGTGTATGGTTCCACCTAGGATATATTATTAACTTATTAGGTATGAATTACATGCCTCAAACCTTGTTCCATTTTTGCTTACTTTTCAATAATTTCATAAATATCCCAACATTTAAGAGTCAACATATTTGCATTTGAATAAAGTATCCCTTGTTAATGGTGAATAAACATTCTTTAGTTATAAAGCTGTGGTAACATTCTAAAGTTAACTTTGAAGAATAAGTGAAAACATATTTTTGGGGGTTGAAAGAAGAGAGCTACATTTTAAAACAACTCAAAGTCTGTAACAAGTCTCTTCACCAGAGGCATATTTGCAATTCAACCTAAGAATAGCCAACATCCTTCAAGGCGGTACTTCAGATTCTTATATCAAAGGGCTGTTGGCATTATTTAATGAAGTTTATATCACAGCTGTCAAATAGCATCAGGACTTTTAATTAAATGATTCTGAGAAATTCATTTATTCAGTGGTATGTCTGGCTATGTTATTAGAAGTCCCAGAAAGAAAAAGAACACCTTCTTGCTTTTTCCAAGATCATTTCATTCTTAGAAGACAAATCAAACTATCTTTAAAGTTCCTTTAAAATAGAAAGTTTCCCAACTTCCCAGAAATGTTTCTTTTTCAGTAAACAACATCGTAAGGTGAGATTCTCTCAGATAATAGCATGTACCTAAATAGTGCAGCTTCATTACCTAATATTATTGTATAAATTAATTTTTACCTGAAAGCAAAACAAATGGTTATTTTAAAAATAAAACAGACTTAAGATCCAGAGTTGCTGATGCCAAATATTTTTTAATGCTACAACAGCAATATAGTTCTATTTTATCCATCCAAATCCAATTTACTGAACAAAGTATTGCTGCTTATATAAAAATGTAAATACAGGCAAAAAAAAACTACTTTGTTTTTCTCTAAAACTGACTATTGGTTGCTAAAGCCCATGTGAGCAAATGAAGATTTTCATTACCTCATTATTGCAGTCAAAAAACAGAACAAAAGATACATCGGCCTTCCCATCCATGGTCTTGTTCCAGCCTTGAAGGTTATCTTGATTTCTTGGAAACCCATCAATCAAGAACTTATTCTTCTGAGCACTGACAGCCATTGTCTGATCCATTTCCTAAACGAAAAGGAAGATTTAAGTTCAATACAACATTAATTAATGCCATTTCTTAAGAAGGGTGGTGGATATATGGGTGTTTGTTTTATTATTTTTCTTTAAATCATAAGAGTGGAGGTTACATAGGAAAAAAAGACTTAAAGGAAATGATCCAATGTGTTAATATGGCTGCTTCAAGATGGTGGAGTTACAGTTATATACCCCTCCCTCATTTTATACACACACAATTTTTTTCTGTAGTTTCTAAATTTTCTATAGTAAGCATATGTTACTTTCACATATACATTCACAAAGTTATAAACAACAAAAAGAGAAAAATAAGCATTAATCAATATATTTGCTCCAGCCACTAGAGACCCTATCTTACCTTCCTTTTCCCCTTCCCAAGTCATTTTGCTGTGGCAGGAAGTATGCTGCTTCAACAGATACTCAGTCTCAAAAATAATTCAAGTCCAATTGCAAAAAGCTTCAGACAAATACAAAGAGACTGCTAGCATTAATTACTAGTATAGGAGTCAATACTCTTTCTTTTAAACTGAAGCTAATTAAACTAAATGCCACTGGCTACCCCGAAACACAGGTAGCAAAGGGAACAATACATTCAAAACATATCAGGAGTAGCCCATTTCACCATCTTCTTCCAAAGTCTGAATTTTAGATAGAATATGGGATTATATCAATGGGAAGACACAGGCCTCTAATCTTCAAATCCTTACCACTAACAACTACCATGGGATAAGCACAGATGCACAACTCTGATACCTCAGAGGAGCCTCTATTTCAGAGCAAAACAGCATCCAGTCCCTTAAACTGTTCGCTGGTTCCTCAAGAACAACAGCTGTCAGGACCTCTAATTCCTTTATGACAGAGCTGGTTTATCCCAGCATTTTGCTTCTCCGGTATTCACCAAACTTTCACAGAATGCTTTTGGGCCCCTGCTATAGCATTTCAACCACAATTACATTAGTGGAAAGTATCTGAACAGGTACATCAATATTCTACTCACTCAAGGTATGTTTATTTATTCAAGGCCTACTATCAGTAAACATGAAGAGCAAAGTAATGGCCCCGAGGGGGGGCTAACAGTCCAGTGGATAACAAATAAATGTAAATAAATGTGTTAAGTTCTGTGTTGAGGTATGAAAGGATGTTATGATAAAGCAGCAAGCACAAACTGGGAAACTGCCAGAGGAAGCTTTACCAAAGAGGAGGCAGTGGAGCTGAATCCTAAAAATGAAATAGCAGGCAAACAGGGATCAAAGTACTCCAGATGGTATAAACTGGATGTATAAAGGCTCAGAAATGAGAAAGCGTAACAACTCTGATGAATCTGAAATAAGCTGATACAGCCAAATCTATAATGTGTATAGAGCATGGTGGGAGATAAGACCAGAAAAGAAGGTGGGGCAAGATTAATGAAGCACTTGTTATGCCACACTAAAATTGGTTTTTATTCTGCAAGCAATACAAGACCACTGAGGACTTGTAAATAGCAACAGAATATGCTCACATAACCTTTTAGAAAAAAATCACTTGATTTTTGCACCATGAAGGATGAATTAGATGGAGACAAAGATGGATTAAAGGCAAGAAGATTAATGGGGAGGCTCTAGTGATGGTACAGGTTAAGAAAAATAGACGATCTGAACTAAGGCGATAGTGGTAACAGAGAAAAAGATTAAATGAAAGAGGATTAAGAGAAAGATAATTGGAAGGATATGATCATTGAATGGATTTGGGAAACTGAGGAAGAGGTGGAAACTATAGGATGGCTCCCAGATGTCTGCCTTGGGCAACTAAATAGATGGTAGAACCATTAACCAGGACAGGAAATAAAGGGTGATCAGTTTTTAGATGATATGTTCAGCCTCAGGCATGTTGATTTTGAGATATCTGTAAGACATTCAAATGGATGTCTAATAGTTAATTAGAAATATAAGTCTGGAGTTCAGAAAAAAGATTTGTGTTAGAGCTATAGATTTTGGCATCATTATCATAGTGAAAGCCTTGGGCATGGCTAAAACCATCCAGCAAGAAATATACAAAATGAGAGGACAACCAAGGGTGAAACCCTGAGAAGCATCATAGTTTAGGAAACTTGCAGAAGAGCTAATAAAGGAGACTTCAGAAATGCAGTAAGTAAGAAAAGAATCAAGAGAAAAGGCGTCACAGAGAAACAAGGAGAAATGGGTTTCAAAAACATAGTGAACAATTAAATGCTACAAGAAAAGTTACTTTAAAAAAACCCAGATTTGATAGAGAAGATCACTGATAACATCAGCAAAGATAGTGTCAATGAAGATGGAAAGAGAACCTGACTGCAGAGAACTGAAGAGTGAATAGAAAGAAAGTAAAGAAGAAAAAAACAGTAGACTGCTTTTTCACGATGCTTAGCTATAAAGTGGAGAAAAGGCAATAAATCCAGAGAATAGGGAGGAAGGATACATATACTCTGGAGTGGAAGCAGGTTACTCCAATCTGAGTCAAGAAGTAAGAATATGTGTGAATGAGCCAGTCTTCATCCTTCAGTGTCTCTGGTTTCATCAAATGTTCATATCTCCTTCCCATCAGGCTTCAACTATTTCTTCTGTTCCCACTCTTGCATTTCTCCTTTACTGTTTCTTATATGTTAAAATACCCATTAATGATTACAGTCCTGGGAATCTAGACTGGAGAGTTAACATGTGAAATACAAGATACCTGTTTTTTAGATAGGACATATTTTAGTTTGACAGTTGTCAGTCTTAGCACTTAATGCTGAAGACACACGCAGTAGAAAAGGAGACATCAAGACTGAGAAAATGGCAACAATGGGAGGGTCACAGGAAGGAGGAGAGAAGAAGAGAAAAGAATGGAAGGGAAAGAAAGGAAGAAGGATTAAAGAAAACAAAAGGGAAAGAAGGAGTGGGAGGAGAAAAGGAAGAAGAAATAGAAATGGAAGAGAGATTGATGGCATGCTGAGAAGGTCAAGTGCACATATACGAATGTTAAGCTGAGCGGTAGCTGATACTAGACCAAAGCAGAAAATGCCTGCCACTGTCCAATTTCTTCCCAGGTAAAAGTGGAATTTCCAGTCCTGCTATTTTCAAACACCATGACCATCTCCCACAAGCAAGAAATTCAATACCCTGATTTTTTCATACTCAAAGGAAAAGTAGATTTAATGTCTTATTTCCTTGCTGGTTTAAATTAGTTGGCGTTCACACTCCTTACCCTCTTTAACAAGCTGATAGTTATCTCAACTGGCACAATCTTTCCATCTTTAATGTACTTGTCAATGAGTTCACCATACTGTGAATCTGGGTTCTTCCTCTCATCACGAAGAAGTTCTCCTGCAGAAAGATGTGTGTAGCCATATTTCTGAAACAACACATAGGAAAAAAAATCAGAATATATCCAACCCAGTGGTAGGACTATCAGTTTTTTCCTTCATGTTTACTTAAATATACCAATTTTTCTATAATAAATAAGGTTTGCTTGTATATTAAACAAATAATAAAGAAAAATTAAAGAGAGATTTCATACAATCAAGTTTGCTTAAAATATATCCTTAACCTACATAGGGCATGGTAGCTTTAATGTTCACACACCAAGAAATCATCCCAAAATTTATCTACCTATACAAAGCATTAACATCTCTTTATATTCATTCACAAAAATATTCAAAGTTTAAATGTTAATAATGTTCAAAGAAATGTCTAACAAAAAAATCTATACAATTCAAGGCAAAAAACAAAATCCTAACCAGTTAGCTATACCACCTTCTATAAAAACTCTGCTTCCCTTCCTTAAATTCAGCACATCTAATTTGAACTCATCTGCATTTACACAAACCCCATTCTTCTGTGTCTTTTTTCCCCTTTCTCAGTAAACAGCACAAGGCCTACCTCTTCCACAAGATTGGATTTCCTGACCACCCCAAACAGTGGTCATATAGTCAAAGAGTATCTTAAGAGAATCACTGCCTCTCCACTGAGACCATTATCTGCCTTACCACTCTCCAAAGTCCATTTCCTATCTCTTTAGTCTTAACTAGAGAGGTCTCATCATAAAGTTGGAATACAGACACCTATTTTATAAATTAGTGGTGATGATTAAATGAGATAATTAATTGTACTACAATGTATACCCAATGCCTACTGGAGAGCCTGACACATAGTGGGGGATAAAAACCATCAATTACCTCTTTGCCATCATAAAGTTACTTATCTTATATAATCTGGAAGCATTTATATATATAAATATATATACACACACATTATATATTTACATACACACACACACACACACACACACACACACACACACACATATAAATATATATTCACTTCAATGGTTTGATAAAAAAGTCCAAGCAAGGGACCTAAGTGAGATAATAGATAAGAATATCCTGCGAAAGGATAGTAGCATGTGTGTGTGTGTGTGTGTGTGTGTGTGTGGTAGTATGGTATTATGATTGTGATGATCCTTATTATCTAGGACTTACAAATTATGTAGTAGGTCAAGGTATAGGATAATGGTTGAGCTAAATCACATAAGATGCTTTGGTTGTTCTGCCTTTCCCCATGATTGGAATTAGGAAACAATACAGATCTAAGAGACAATTCCGATTACTGAAAAGCTGCTTCTTCCACGTGAATTTGCACATTCTCTTTTATTAATCAAGAGAACTATAAAATTTATTTTTTTAATGCTTTTACTCTCAAATATCAGGATACTGGAAGTATATCCAATGTTCAGTTACAACAATCATCTTATCTCAAATTCTTAAGACTCTCTAAAAATGGGTTTTTATCCTATCCATTTTAAGTATACAATAAATATGTGATAACATAAATTTTATCTTTAATATCAGTATTAACATTTGAGGCAGCTCATATGCCCATCCCCTTTTAAAGTAGAGCGTTTTAATTGTATATTTTATAAAAACTAACTTCCAGTTACCCAGGCTATGGTGAGTTTTCTTTCTCTCTCTCTCCATTTTTTTTTTTTTTGTGGATTGCAGAAGCCATACATTCTTTGTCCATTTTCTATTTCTAAAAGTTATTGGCTAACTTGTTCTTGCTTACTAAAATAAAGTAACCTAACAGTAAGGTAGTCAGCAAAGGAAAACAAACCCTAAATAATTTATCTGCTGACTAAAATTGGGTATAAAGTTTGAAGAAAATAAACAAAAGCCATACTATCATTCATGTCTGTCATATAGCCTCTTCCATTAGAAGAAAAGACCAAAAGTATATTCAGTTATAACAGGCTTTACAAAAACTCGCATTTACAACAAATGAAAATAAATACAAAAGCGTTTAATTACTTAAACTGTTACTTTAAAATTATTTCCACATTACACCATTTTTTAAATGCCTACTTTGATCACCAAGCATAAGCAAACTTTATGGGTGTAGAAAAGGATTAAAAAAAAAATGAGGTGTGACCTACTTTCCCATTTACTCTGTACAGTGTTGAAAAGCAGTTCCAACTACTATCCACAAAATTTTGTAGCAGCTTCATTTCCTACTGCTTACTTTGGCTCCTGCTTGGAAACCCATACTTGTTGGATGCTCTCATCTGGTCTATGGATTACAGCATATGGGAATATTGAATGAATGAAGAGACAAACAGTACTAAACAATGACAACTGCTCAGTGAAACACCAACAATACAGATTTCTCTGTACAGATTGCCTCGGCTGATGAACGACACATACATTTAGAAGCCCAGCTAGTAATTTAGAAATTAGTAGACACAGTTTCCTGACATTGGAGAGCTCAAATTTGTAAGCTTTATATTACATTAAAGTGGGTTTTGGCATATCACTTTTTTTAAAAGAGAAACTAGTTTAAATAGGAGAGTTATACAAACGACATTTTAAAAATAATTACACACTCTGTCAAAAAGACAGAAAACAACCTTATCAGCAAAGTACAAGGAATTTAAATATATACAATCATGTCAAACCTATACATGTTATCTTTCTATTTCTCATCCACATTCCATTTTTTAAAGTCCTCTATTTACCAGTTACTTTTTCATACTACATTTTTCTTCAGGATTTTGCTGAAGCTTTTCTCTTAATACAGAGTTTCTACAACAAAAAAGCAACTATCACTTACACACTAGTAATTATGACATTTTAATAATAGCTAGACTTTTAAAAGCATGTTTCCTAAGCATTCTACTATCATTAAGTAGTCACTGACACAATTTTGAGGAAAGCAAGAATGGTTATTTCCCAGGCTTAACCAAAACTTTTTCACATTCTCTGAAATTTCCTAGCAATTAAAACATAGTGGGTCATTAACTACAGTCTTAAGAACAACATTCAAAACCACAGCAGGTTACAAATACTATAAACCACAATAACTACAATTATAAGCTACTATTATTCAACTAAAAATACTAGTGACAAATGTATAAACTCAAGTCATTTAGAGTAACTGTCTAAAGATTTTACTTTCATTTTCTCCTTTAAGAAGTTTGAAAACAACTCAGTTAACTTTTATGAATCACATGCTAAGAATTGGAAGAAGAAAAAGCACTACATTCAACAGATACAGAATGACACTATATCTTACTATAACTAGGCATGTTGACAATTTTATGGTATCAAATCTCAAATCACCTTGACCAACTTCTCTCACTTCTTAGAATTGTCTTTTTTTCCAAATTTAGGTAATATGGTTCTATGTGACCAAAACATCAAAAATAAAACAACAGAAAAAAAAAGAATTCAAGGTACAAATGATGCATAAATGGAAGTTCTTGGAGGCAAGAAGATATCCAGATGCCAGATACCTCATCATTAGTAAGTGTGGCAATTAGAAAGTGCCATCAGACTGCTACTCAACCTTAAAACATAGCAAATATATTAGATACATATATACTTTTAAAGTAACCGAGTTAAAACTACTGGTTGTCCTCTTTAAGTAGCTGACAACGCATTTAAGACTAAGTTTACTCTGTACTCCCCATGAGCTTAGGGAACTTTAAAATCTAAATTCTGATTATGTACTAGCAACAGTGAACCTTCAGCAGAACACCTGGAAATGCTGCAGGGACTGTTCGGGCCATCCGGACTCCCCAGTCTGGTACTGCCACAAACAACAGCTTTAGAGCCTAGAGCATCCCAGCAACACTTCCTGTAAGGCTCCTTTATTCCAAAGGCATTTCCAACAGAACTTTTTCCAATTAGTCTAAATCAGAGATGCCTGATAAGGACTTTCCAGGAACGGTAATCCGCCAGTTTTGGGGAACTTACTTTTCTTTTGACTATAAGAACTGCTACAAAGTGCCCAGATACAAAACTGGTGACTTTTAGGGTCCCTTCCGGTTTCACCCACAGAGGGTTAGAAAAGGATTTTTCCTATAATCACCATTAAAGAAGATACGAGTTTTTTAAAAAGACTCTATCCTACGGGAGAAAAGCTGAGAGTAATAGTTGACTTAAATTGCTAGTGAATTTCTAATCTCATTTTTTAGTCTGCCCTCACTGTTATTCCCAAATGCGTGCATCTGACCATGCCTATTTAATTGCATATCTACATATTAGCTATAAACTATGGAAGTTATAAACCAAGTTAAATCTTTTCTTAATCAAAAAGCTTTAGGAGACAGATTCCAAATTAACATGAAGCATATTTCTTTCTCTAATTATAGAGTGATATTTTAAAAGCTTACATCATGCAAAGGAAAGGCATATTATCCATTCGACCATAAACAATTACAGCACTATTTCATTTTCTTCAGTGTTTTGCTCTTCATGTAAGAAAATCTTAATTCAGGCAATACTCGGAACTTACTTTAAATCCATAAATATTCATTGAGTGTCTACAAAGTGCCAGCCAATGTACTGGTTCAAAGGAGGTAAACAGGTTATATTCACAAAGGATGCAGTAGTGACTTGCATATATGAAGTGACTTGAGCCTTAATATTAATAAAGACAATTCTTCATATTTGCATAACTTTTCCAAAGGAACTCTGCCTTTACCAGCCCTGTCAGCTTGGGGAAGAAGTTGATTCTTCAGAGGCAGTGGCAAAAAGATAGAACAGTAAATAAAATATAAAGAAAGGGTGAATTAGAAGAAGGCACCAAACTGACTTTCCCTTTTGTGTGGGCCTGCATATCCCTCTAACATTTTGCAGAAGTCTTCTCAAGTAATTGAGGATTTCGGTATTTGATTTACATACCAAATGGCTCCTATAGCAACTGTAAATTGGAATTTTCACACTCCAACTTAATTACCATCGGTCATTTCCATTATTTTTATTTCTTTTAATTCATATCAGCCATTCTGAATTGCTTAATCTACATACCTTATATTAGAAGGGGATGGAAAATGGTTAAAGATGAAGACCAGACCCA